CCTGTCTATCCTTCCTGAGCAAGCTGTACCCATCCACACCAACATTCCAATCATGTGTGTTATCCCACTTGTCATTGTTTATTTGTCTGCCCTTTTCTGATGTGTCAGATTCTTTCTTATGTGAATGTTTCCTGTCTGATCTGGCCCATACTTTATCCTCTTCCATCCTCTCCTCCTGACTAAAACCTAGAGAAGTCTCTGTCTGATCCACGTGCTCCTCTGCAGCAATCAGCTTTCCCCCATCTCTTAGTTTTAAAACTGCTCTGCAACCTTTTTAAACGTTAAGTGCCAGCAGTCTGGATCCATTTTGGTTTAGGGGGAGTCCATCCTTCCTGTATAGGCTCCCCCATCCCAAAAGTTTCCCCAGTTCCTAATAAATCTAAACCTCTCCTCCCTACACCATCGTCTCATCCATGCATTGGAATTCTGAAGCTCTGCCTGCCTATCTGACCCTGCGCGGGGAACTGGAAGCATTTCTGAGAATGCTACCATAGAGGTCCTGGATTTCAGTCTCTTTCCTAGCAGTCTAAATTTGGCCTCCAGGACATCTCTCCTACCCTTCCCTGTGTCATTGGTACCTACATGTACCACGACCACCGGCTCCTCCCCAGCACTACACATAAGTCTATCTAGATGTCTCGAGAGATCCGCAACCTTCGTACCAGGCAGGCAAGTCACCATACGGTTCTCCCGGTCATCACAAACCGAGCTATCTACGTTTCTAATGATCGAATCTCCCACTACTAACACCTGCCTTTTCCTAATGACTGGAGTTCCCTCCCCCAGAGAGGTAACCTCACTGTGAGAGGATACCCCAACATCATCTGGAAGGAGGGTCCCAACTATGGGAAGGTTTCTCTCTGCTCCCGTTGTCTACTCTCCTTCTCTGAGCCTTTCATCCTCCTTAACAGCGCAGGGGCTTTCTGACCGGAGGTGGGACAAATCTACAGTGTCCCAGAAAGCCTCATCAACATACGTCTCTGCCTCCCTTAGCTCCTCCAGTTCCGCCACCCTGGCCTCCAAAGTCTGTACGTGGTCTCTGAGGGCCAGGCGCTCCTTGCACCAAATGTACACATACGCCACCCGCCCACAGGGCAGGTAATCATATATGCTACACTGAGTGCAATAAACAGGATAGCCCCCACTCTGCTGCTGGGCTTCTGCCTGCATACTCTCCTACAGCTGCCTAGGTTAAAGATAGGTAGGGTTACCATATTTCAGCAAGCAAAAAGAGACGGGAGGAGCCC